AATAGAAATTCTCTTGAAAAATAAATAAAAAATCAAAGACTAAATGATACATGAATAATTAAATAAATGCGAACGCTTTATTGATTTTTTTGCTGGATGAAAGTTATATAATTGCCATGTCATTTATGGTGACTTCTCTACATTATATTAAGGCAATATATATATATATATATATAGGAGTACATCTATTCTTTTTTATTATAATTTTATAATTATTCAATCGTATTAAAAATTAAAAAAATTTAAATTATAATTAATTATAAGTGTAAACATCACATAAAATTTTATAAAAATATATCTATTTTTTATTATAATATTATAATTATTCAATCATAATAAAAATTAAAATATTCTAAGTTGTGATTGATTATAAGTATAGACATCACATAAAATTTTAGTGAATCCTATGTAATTTTAAATTATAATTAATTAATTATATGACAATAGTTATAAATAAAATGCTTTCATATATATATATATATGAAAGCATTTTATTTATAACTATTGTCATATAATTAATTAATTATATATGCAAACATTAATCATTTTCTTTTCTTTTCCTTTCATAGACGTATTTGCAAGAAATTATCATTGAAATGATATTATACATTTTGACAAAATAAAGCTGACATCTTTTAATAGGCTTGGCAATTTTGTGTAGGAAACAAATTTGTGAATCTAAATATTCTCTCTTGATTACTTTTCATCTTTAATTACTAGATGAGCTAATTAATTTCAAAATAATTTTCATGTTTTCCAAAAATTCCTTTCAACCTGTCAACTTCTAGTTATTTATCTCACTACATTTTTCTTTATTATATCTTCGGGGAAGAAATATCAATTTGACATATGATGAACACATTAAAATGAAATTTACCATGAATTAAAATTGAAATATTTCTTTAAAACATTACTACAGCTATATATATATATATTTATATTTATTTGAGACACTTTCACCATTGTAAATGTTATACTCTTTTTTTTTTTTTTTTTGGATCTTTTGATCAAAATTAAATGTATAACACTTACCCTTAATTATTTTGAACCAAAAAAAAAAAAATTGTAATATTTACACCAATATATGTAGCACACTATTTTGTCCCAAATTATTTGGGCATTGGATCTAATCAATTTGTTTTATTGTTTTATTTATTTATTTATTTTTATCATTATTTTGAAAATAAGTAACAAGAATAAAAAAAAGGATAAATCAAGTGATAAGGCTATGTGTTTGAAATTTGAAGTATTGGGTTAAATTTTTAAAATTTTGATATCTTTTTTTAAACTCAAAATTTAGATTATAGGGGATATGATGCTCAGTCTTTTCAAAGGAAAATCCTATCTTCATTGCCTTATTTAAATCCTAGGTCGACAGAGCGAAAAACACAAAGTGAAAATATAAAGTAAAACCCAGAGGAATCAAAGTGAAAAATACAAAATTCATCTTTTAGCCATGGCCACTAAGCCTTCCACTGTGCATGGTTGTTATTCCCAACACAACCTTTAATAGTCCCAATCCATAACTCACCTTCTCTCATAATCAACACAACACATTCAAGTAGAGAGAAAGTCATAGAAAAGAATTTTGCAAAAAACACAGGGAGAAAGGAGACCACTGGCCAAAAATTGAATATCACCAAATTGCCTAATCTTACGACCCACCAAACTGCCTAATCTTACTACCACTGAAATTGGAGTGATCGATAGCCCAAATACCCATTACCAAAAACCAATCACCCACGAAATACCCAAAACCCATAATACTCAAAACCCAATAGACAACCCACCATCAACCTAAGATCAATCATAATAAGTAGCAGCAATGAAGGTAATAGTGGTTGTGACTCTTGTTGGCAGAACAACGATGATCATAGAATAGGGTTTTAGGTATAGTATTTTGTTGTGACTCACATTAGCAGAGCGATGTCGATCAAAGAGAAAGGTTTCAAGTGTAGGATTCTTGACTAAAATTTTGAAAGTGCAGGATTCTTGACTAGAATTTTAAAGTTGGAGAAAGGAAAAATCAAAAAACAAAAAGGATGGTGGTAACTTGTGGTGCCGATGGTGTTGATGATGCACCAAAATCTGAAAAAACCCATTAGTCTTCTTAAGCGTTTTGCATTACTAGAAAAAAGCCAATGAGCCTCATGCATTCTTATAGCCAAACCTTTTTGAGCCAAGCCAAACCGAGACTTGTTTGGTATTTTCTTCTATTATTTTGTTTATTTACTTAATTATTTTTTGGGTAAATCTTTTATTTTAAAAAAATGATAATAAAAAGAAAAATATTTTCAAATTTTTTAAAAAAAGTTAAAGAATTAATTTTTCTTAAAAATAAAAATTTTCAAAAAAAAATTTGAGGAAAAATTGAAGTATCAATTTTCCTTCAATAACTTCAATAATAAAAAAGAAGTTTTAAGGAAGAGTTGAAAGTATCAATTTTCCGTAGAAAATAATTTTTTTTTGTATTTCTCAAGAAAATTATTTAAGAAAAAGTTGAAAGTATCAATTTTTCTTGAAAATAAAATTTTCAAAAATATTTTTTGAGGAAAAGTTGAAAGTATCAATTTTCCTTGAAAATAAAATTTTCAAAAGATATTTTTTGAGAAAAAGTTGAGAATATCAATTTTCCTTGAAAATAAATTTTTTTTAAAAAATGTATTTCTCAATAAACTTTTTTAAGAAAAAGTTGAAAGTATCAATTTTCCTTGAATAAATGCATTAATCCTTTTTAAAAAGAAATAAAATAAGAAAAGAAATCTCAAGAAAAAGTTGAAGTATTAATTTTCTTTTTTCCTTGAAATTTTTTAAATGCTAAATAATCCAACGGTAGAGCCCCTGCAAGAAAAATAGTAGTTTTCTTGTATACTCTTAAAGTGAGGGAATTTTTTTTAATTTTTTACCAAAAGTATTGAGTCAATTAAGAATAATTTTCAATAATTAATTATTTGATGAGATTTTTAAGACTTAATGGATAACACAAAATCAAGCTAGTACCATCCTTTGATGGGCGTTATGGGGGTGTTATAACCTTTCTTACACGTAATCGTACTCTTAAACCTAGTTTTGGTTTTGCAGACATTGAATCTACCTTTTAAAGATACCTAAGTCAAACTTAGGATTTCTCTTTAAAAAAGGATAGATTCAGTTAAGTGACCAATCACACCTAAATAAAAGAGTGGTGACGACTCCTTAAGTTAATGTCTAGCGATAAGTCCATGGATTTAAACGTTATGACAATTTGGAGACTCTGCTGGGGACATGCTGAGAGTCAAGCCAACAAATAATTTTGTATTATCCAAAAGCCTAATAAAATTGATTTTTTAAAAAGATTTTTGTTTATTTATTTATTTACTTTGTTTATTATGTCATTCATATACATATGCATAATATAAGCTCTAAATCCAAGCTCTATCTTTTTAGGAGGGATTAAAGTACCTATGCTTTTTGTGAGGTTTTAATGCCTCTGCAATGGCTAGTGAAATACTCCCAATCAAATTGAATCCTTTTTGGTTATAGCTTATAATTGGCAAGGATCAAGGTGCCTTACTAGTCTGTGATAGACTCGGATGTAAGAAACAATTTGAAAACTTTTAGACTATCAACCTTAAACCATATATAGTGACCATAAGGAACCTAACTTGTAGTTAGAGCTTTACCTTTCTTTTTTGTAAGCAACAGTTAAGTTACTTTTTTGCAATGATTGATTTTTTTATATGAAAAATAACTTTTGTATATGTCATGTTGCATGAATTTAATTGTCATGATAAAGTGTATGTTAATTGAATTTTTTTCCTTCTTTCATTTAAAGCAAGATAACATTAGGCTACATATATTTTTTTGCATTCATTTTACATGTGTTAACTTGAAATCTTGGTGGTTGCATATTAAGATTATCCTTCTTTCATTACATGAGCATGTAGTAATGCAAGCATCTTGATTTGTGGTAATTAAAGGTTCAAGGATAGCTCGATTGTCGAAGACTTTTGTCCAACATACTCGTCATCCATACAATACTTAATTACAAACAAAGAAAATGGAACATGAGTAAAATAGCCGTATGGATAAGATCAAGAAAGCCCGATAAGAGATAAAAGAGGAGTCAGCAAAGATGATGAAGATGCTAAAGAAAATAGATAAAGGCAAAATAGTAAAAGAAACCCTTAATTCAAATAGAAATAAGATATTATGGATCCTCTACACCTTTTTGGGTTTAGCCCAAATCAAGGCCAATCTCCTCAAAATACATAAGCCCCACAGATGTTATTTTTTGGGGCATATCTTGAAATGCCATTTCATAACTACACTAACTCTACTTTGGGGCAAAAGTGTATGATCTAATTGAGGTTCCTGATTTTGATGATCTTAAAAAAAAAGAGAGATTGAAGATAAAGACTACTAAGGTGATAGAAGATTCAAGCATGTAACAAATGAACCTTTTAGAAGAAAGAGTGCGAGCTATCAAAGGAATAGATTATTTTGGCTCTATAGATGCAGTCGAACTATGTTTAGTTCTAGATATGGTTATTCTGTCAAAATTTAAAGTTCTCAAATTTGAAAAATACAATGGGACAAAATGTTTGATAACTCATGTTACCATATACTATCGTAAAATGATGGCCCATGCTCGTGATGAGAAATTGCTGATGTATGTATTTTAAGATAGTTTTACTAGCTTAGCTACGAAGCAGTATGTCTAGTTAAATCAAGCCCGTATTCTTTGTTGGAATGATTTGGCAAAGGTATTCATCGCCCAATACTAACACATTATAGACTTAGCTTTAGATCATCTATTTCTACAAAGTATGAAAAAAAAACCTTCTAAAAGCTTCAAAGAGTATGCATAAAGGTGGAGAGATGTAGCTGCTCAAGTTCAACCACTTCTTATTAAAAAAAAATGGCTATTTTTTTTTGTGAGTACTTTGAAGCCTCTATATTATGAGAAAATGATTAGGAATACCATTCAAAAATTTATCGATATGGTGATTTTTGAAAAAATGATAGAAAATGCCATTAAAAGTGGCAAGCTTGAAGAGGGAGAGACTTATAGTACAAAGAAAGGTGGGATGTCCAAAAGAAAAGAAAATGAAGTTCAAGCTGTGGTTTTGAAGGACAACAGTTTAGAAGTTATGCCTCATACCCACAGCTAGTGTATCCTATTTGTTATCTAACCATTAATCATGTTGCGCCAGTTTCTTACGATCTTGTTTCATAACCAGCTTACTAACTAACTTTTCAAACACCCACATATAGGCCTAGTCCTATTACTACACTAGCTTTAATGCCTAATAACCAAGCGGATGGTTTGAGGAAATCTCAAAATAACCAAGA